GCTGCCCCGCCGTGCGCGCCCGCGCTCTCCTGGGCACCGCGGCCGGCCGGGCTGGGCTGGGCCGGGCTGGGCAGGCACCTCGGGCGGGCGGCTCGAGCGCCGCCGACGCTGCTCCGCACAAGGAGGAGGAGGGACAGGGCTGYGAAAGCATCTGCCTCCGACAGGGAAACCGGAGCCCGGGGGGACGGACAGGGCGGGCCGGGCGGGGGGACTCCTGGATGCCAAGCGGCGGCTCCGTGCACGCAGCCGGCGACGCAGTGCTGCCCACGGGCAGGGCACGCTGCGGGCCACGGGCTCCGGCACGGGGCCACGGCGCCCGCGGCCCCCTGCGCGGCCGGGCGTCCTGGCACGGCGCTCGGCACCACACTGTCCGCCTGCGGGTCCCTGACAGCGCGTCTGGCATGGCCGGGGGGGACTCATAGCAGGGTCTGCCTSGTGCAGCCCATGTTGGGGTCCTGAACAGCCCCAGGGTCCCTGCCAGGTGCAGCCCTGCCTGGCGCAGCCCTGGTAGGGTCTCAGCACAACCCCGACACCCTGGCACAGCCCTGCACACCCTCAGTGTCCCTGGCCCTTGCACAGCCCCTCTCTAACGCGGTACTGGCATGAGCCTGTACCCACAGCCGTGGCTGCGTGGAGCTTCACGCTGCCCCAGGGCCYGGGTACAACCCCAGCCATCCGGCTGCTCCCCTCCAGCTGCTCCCACAGCTCCTCCGCCTCCAGCTCGGAGCAGCCTCGCCGCGCTGGCCGCACACAAGGTCATCCGTGTCCGGGGAGCCCCACTAGTCRGACCTGGAGGATTAGGCTGCTCTGGGGACCCCAGAGAAGGGACCTCAGCTCCCACCCTGTTCCTCTGGGGACATTTTCCTGAGGAAGGGGGAATGCAGGTGGAGAGGTGGGAGAGAGCCCCAGGACGAGCATGCAGCAAGAGGAGCAGGAGGGGAGTGCAGGGAGGGCCTGGCTCCTTTCGGTGATCTCATCTCAGGTGCAGCCGGGACCTTGCAGGGATCCCCAGCCCCCAGCGTGGGATCAAACCAGCAGCAGGGAGCTGCCTGGGGCAGGGGGAAGCTGAGGGGCCTGGGAGATGCACAGGGAGGACGTGCYGGGGCTGAGGAGCCGGAGAGAGAAGGCACTGGGGCTCCTAGGCTGCCTGCACCCATTTCTGCACCCTGGGCAGCAATGGGGGAAGTTTCCCTGGATTCATATCAGGGAACTGGGTCCGCCCCTGGGGACCACCATGCACCCCTGTCCCCATGGTTGGAGCACCCTGCCACCCCTGGCTGGCTCTGGGAAGAAGGGTTGAAACATGGGGTCCAGCCTCCAGCAACGGACAAGTCAGAGCATCCTCCGTGCCCAAGGGCCACCCCGCTGCCTCCAGCAGAGATCCAGGCTCTGTTGCCCTGCCTGGGAGGGAGCTGCTTCCTCCACCCCTTGCCCATCTCCGCAGCCTCTGGGCTGCCACAGGCCCCAAAACCAGCAACATCTTCCCCTTCCCCAGGCACSTTTCCTCCTGCACCAGCACTGGGGGTGCCCAATTTCCCCTTTATCCCTGCCCTGTTCCTGCCGCATCTGCCCCCACCCTCCTGCACGGCATTCAGGATCCACGTCGGCGCTCCAGAGGGGATAAGCAGGGTCGAGTTGTCCTTGCGGCAGCTGGGCCCTGGCCGGGGCCGGGGCCGCGCCGACACCGTGCCCGGCCCCCGAGGGCCGCGCGCGCCGGGTGCTGAAACGTGAGGCTCATCGGCCGCCGCGCTGAAAGTGCCTCTTGTCCCCGCGCCGCGCGCGCCCCGCCGCTCGGCAAAGGCAGCGCGGGGCAGGTGAGAAGCCTTTATCTGATTTCCTAATGGCAGAAAAATCCCTTTGATTTCGGCCCGAGGAGGGGAGCGGGGCGGGGGGGGCGCAGGTGCGCCTGGCGCGCGGCGGCCGGCCCTTATCGCGCCCCCGGGGAATGGGGGGGTGCAGGCAGGAATCAGCCCCTTGCAGGGACGGGGGACCAGGGGGCGGAGAGGGACACCTTAAGGCCATCCCTGCCGGCCAAGGGTGCCCATGTGGCCCGCAGATGGGCTGAGACTGGATGCCCTGTGGATGCCTCCCCCCTGGCATAGAGAGCCCCCCTTGGAGAGGGGAAACGGAGGCGGGGACCTGCACGGGGACCTGTGGGCAACCCCCCATGGGGGCACCAGGCCCCCTCGCTCGCCCCGCTGCTGCCAAGAGCCCCCGAGGGCCACGAGCGCCGAGCCCAGGCGGCGGGAGCAGGGGCTGTGGTCTCCACATCGGAGCAGCCCTCGCCCCGCAGCCCGGCCTCCGCCGGTGCCTCCGCGCGCCTCTCGCCGCTCCGCACCCCCCGCCCCGGCTTTTGTGTTATTACAAATTATAAAACAATTTTTTCCTGCCGTCCCGCATTCTTCTGCCTCCTGCAAGAATTTTAATGTATTTATTTTTGCTATCAGGGGAAAGCGCCATGTTCCCCGGCCACCTCTGGGCAGCCCTGGCCCCTCTCGGTGAGAATTAGCAGCAGGGAGCGCTGGGCAGACGCCCCTGCACCCCAGGGTGGGAATGATGGTGCCAGGGCCAGCAGGGGGGATGGCCCCATTTGGGGCTGTTTCAGGGCTTTTTGCACAGTGCAGGGTGGGCACGTCAGGGCTCGGGGAGCTGGGGGTGCCCCCATTGCTCACCTGCCAGCCGGGACAGGGCTGGGGGACGTCCCGCTGTCCGTCCCTGTGTGCAGCGTTGGGAATGGCGGGGCCGGCGGCGCGGGGAGGAAGGGGAACGGGCCCTTCCCGCAGCGGGGGGACGCGGCGACGTCCAAGGCAAACAGGCCGGCGCGCAGCGGCCGCATACTTTGCCGGCGTCCCTCCCCTGCGCGCGTCCCGAGGACGCCGGGATCAAACCCCAGCCGGCCCCATCTCCCGCTCCTGCAGTGAGGTCATCGCGCGGTGTTTGTGACATCCCGCCGTCGCCATGGCAGCGCGCCGTGATGTCACGGGCCCCGGGCTGCGACCTCACTGCGGGAGGAGGATGATCTTATTAAAACAACACGGGCGCTGGCGGCGGCCGCGGGCGGCCGGGGGACTCCGCGCGGGGCAAGGCCAGCGGCAGCAAAGCCCCGGCCTTGGGGCCCGATGAGCTGCGCGTGGGGCTACGTGTTGCAGGGGGGCACGCGGAGACCCCCGTGTGCCCCAAGGAGCTGCCGGTGACACGGGGCTCTCCTGCGTGCGTGAGCGGAGCACAGCGAGTCCCACACCGCAGGCATGGATGGGGATCCGGCTGCCGAGCGCCTGGGGCCTTATCGGGGCRCGGAGCCCTTTAATGTCGGCCAGCGGCGGCGAGCGGGCTGAGGATCTGTCCCCAGATCAGAGCGCCGCCCGGCGCTGACAGCGCCCGCGGGGACGTTCCTAAATTAGACGGGTCCCCCCCCCCGGCCCGCCGCAGCCGCCTCGGCCGCTGCCCCGCGGCTGGCCCCGCAGCCCGCGCCGAGCCGCGGCGGCCCGGGCACACGCAGCCTGCCCCGCGGCCCCGCACACGCATGTGCAGCTGAGCACGTGTGTGCACACGCTTAGGGACGTCGCCGGCGAGGGCTCAGAGRGGCTGCCTGGGGTCGGGTGCTCCCCAAGGTGCAGAGCAGCACGGACAGGTGTCACCCCCAGGCAGCCTCGGTGGGAGCAGATGGGTGCTGTGGATCTGGGTGCAGGCTGGTGGCCCAAGGAGAGCTTGGGGCAGACACCCAAAAAGGCCCGAGCTGGGAAAATAGCCCAGGGCATCCACAGGCATGGAGGGAGCATCTCGCTGCTTCCCTGGGCAACCACAGGAGCCTGGCTTTGTCCCTCCAGAGCTCCCTGCTGCTGGGGCGGACGCGGGCGCCTGCCTTCCAGCGCTGGCTTATCTGGGCAGTAAGAGCCATGTCCGGCTCCACACGTCTTGTGCAGGCCAGGGATGACTGATGGATGGATGGATGGATGGATGGATGGATGGATGGATGGATGGATGGATAGGAAGGTATGTTTGGGGATGGGTGGAAAGATGGATGGATGCCTTTGTGGATGGATGCCTTTGTAGATAGATGGATACACAAGTGCACACAAGGCTAAGTAGATGAATGGAGAGATGGGTCTGGGAAAGATGCATGCATGTGTGGATGGATGGATGGATGGGTGGATGGATGGCAGGAGAACACTCCTTAACAAGACCCTGTAGCTTTGAAAGTTACTGCCCTTTTCCAACAATCTCCATTTCACGAAACGTAAGCCAAGGCCCAGCTCTGTCTGGATGGGAAGGGACAAAGTGAGGGTCTGACTTTGTCCTGATGCTACAATCCACACCTACTGCTAACGTGTAGTGCTGCTAACACTACGTGTTGCTAACATGCTCTCCGCTCTCACAGACTCACAGAATCATTAAGGTTGGAAGGGASCTCCAGAGRTCATCTAGCCCCAGGGTGGCAGTCTCTGGAGTGGCAGCTGGGGCACAGAGACCAAGAGCCACCTACCAGTGATGAAGCGGAGCCAACAGCCTCCCAGGCTCTCCATGCAAGCACCATGCAGCTCCCCCAGCATGGGACAGCCCATCCCTTCCCCTGCGGTTCCTCGCACGCTGCTCTGCCCAGCGCAACGAGCAGAGGACACCGAGTCGAGGSCCGAGCTGTGCAGTGACGGGCCGAGGAGGACACGTATCGCTCGGATTGGGAGCAATGCTGCGGGGAGGGGGTGTCCTTGGAGCCCCCGTGGGCAGTAAACGTGATGTCATGTAGGAGCGTACGCAGGCTGCTCTGCACGCGGGTCCCCGCATGGGCTTCACAAGCCCTGCGTAGGAGGCATCGACCATGGCCCGCGGCCAAGGGAACTGGAGTTGGGAGATAACATCAGGTTTGCTTTGGGCTGGAGCAAACAGCCGCTT